CTTTTTTGGCTACCTAACCTAACCTTACCTATAAAGATAGGTTAGGTTAGGTTAGGTAGGGTTGGTTAGGTTCGGTCATATATCTACGTTACTTTTAACTCCAATAAAAAAAAATTGACCTCATACATAATGAAATGGGTAGCTTTATCATTTCATAAGAAAAAAATTATAAAAAATATATTAATTCAGGAAAACTTGGCTTATTAGGCAAATCGGGCCTTGAATAGTAGGCTGAGAAGTGAGTTCTGGCTACTAGGTACGATATATATATATATATATATATATATAAATATATATATATATATATATATATATATATATAAAATATATATATATATATATATATATTAGTATATATATGATATATATATATATATATATATATATATATATATATTAGTATATTTTGGTAGCAGTCTTTCCTGTAGACATATATTATTAAATATGACCGAAAAAGTAAGATGAACGCGACACGCGCTCGTGTTGCGTCAGACTAGAAATAAAAATGAATTTTGGAGAATTGATTTTTTAATTACCTCCAACAGTGAAAAGAAATGTACGAAAGATTGAGAAAATTCGTGTTAGAATTATTAATCTTACTTTTTCGGTCATATTTAATATATATATATATATATATATATATATATATATATATATATATATATATATATATATATATATATATATATATATATATATATATATATATATATATATATATATATATATATATATATATATATATATATATATATATATATATATATATATATATATATATATATATGTAAATATATATATTGTGACGGTAAAGTGTTGGAGTGTTGATGTTCGGCAGTCCTCCAATGGCAGGTGGCAATGCCTTGTCACACTTACAGAAAAAAAAAGAGACTGCTTGCCTGTTTGTCTGTGGTAAGGTAATGGGAAGACACACAAAACACAAAATATAAACAATGAAACTTTGATTACTTTAGAAAACAAGATATGAACAAAGACAATCCCTTGGCTTACGTAAAATTCAAAACAAGTCAACAAACAAAACAACGTGAATAATTAATGAATGTGAAATTTACTCTAATATAAAATGAAGTGAAAGACAATAATAATATTAATCAGGTGCTGAGAATACTGGCTAAAGCTGCCACCTCCCTTAGTACACGACAGCCAGGGCTTAGTCTACCAGAGAGATGTCAACTTCTAAGAGCACAGAAATATTCTGAGGAGTATGAGGAGCACGGCGTGAGCTGGCCCAGACGTCGACTCAGGTAGGGGGCGTGAGTGTAGGTGCAGGTGTTGTCGGCGATACACCAGCCAATCAGGAGCAGGCAGGCGGAGAATGGGTAGTTTGCTCGTTGACGTCGGGCGGAGCCGGCGTGTCGGGTGGTGCAAGGTACGCTTTGCTTCCTGGGCAAAACGTTTTGTGATACTGGTGGACGTATCTTCAATATAGTATCTTGTACTTGTAGAATGACGTGAATGATATAGGGAAGAGCAGGTTCAATCTCTCTTGAAAGAGATTATCGTCACAATATATATATATATATATATATATATATATATATATATATATATATATATATATATATATATATATATATATATATATATATATATATATATATATATATATATATATATATATAATATATGTGTGTGTGTGTGTTGTTAAATATGACTGAGAAAGTGAGATTAATCATTCTAACACGAATTTTCTCAATATTTCTTATGTTTCTTTTTACTGTCGATGGTAATTGAAAAATCAATTCACAAAAAATCATTTTTATTTCTAGTCTGACGCGACGCTTGAACGCGTTTCGTAATAACTTATTACATTTTCAAAGACTTCAGTTTATACACACAACTGTAACCTGAAAACAGTAAACAGACTTACTTATACTAACACTAAACAGCTTATCCGTCTTACTTATACTCGCATTTGGGTGAGGTGATATGGTGCAACAATTTTGGATGAGGTGAACAAACTTGTGACAAAATGCAAGACAGAACACGAAACAATGGGTATTAGTTGGATATGAGAGCATAAGAATGGAAGTAACTGCCGAGGGCCTATTGGCCCATACTTCCTCTTGATGCTTCTATATTGGTTCGGAGTCTTAAAGTGGGTAGAATATAGTTGTGCATTAATTGGCTGTTGATTGCTGGTGTTGACTTTTTGATGTGTAGTGCCTCGCAGATGTCGAGCTGCCTGTTATCGTTGTACCTATCGATGATTTCTGTGTTGTTTGTTAAGACTTCTCTGGTATTCACCTAGTTGTGTTTGCGGGGGTTGAGCTTTGTTCTTTGCAACTGTCAATCAACTGTTTACTTACTACTTTTTTCTTTTTTTTCTTTTTTTTTTCTTTCTACACCCCACACACACACACCCCAGGAAGCAACCCGTGACAGCTGACTAAATCCCAGGTACCTGTTTACTGCTAGGTAACAGGGGCATTCAGGGTGAAAGAAACTTTGCTCATTTGTTTCTGCCTCCTGCGGGAATCGAACCCACGCCACAGAATTACGAGTCCTGCGCGCTATCCACCAGGCTACGAGGCCCCTATGATGGTGATGGTCTGGTTGTGAGAGGAGATTATGTGTTCCTTTATGGAGCCCTGTTGCTTTTGCATTGTTAATCACCTGGAAAGAGACGTTGTTGTCCTGCCTATATACTGAGTTCTTTGGGGCTTACAGTCTCCAAGTGGGCATTTGAAGGGACAGACGACGTTGGTCTCTTTCAAAGCATTCTGCTTTGTGTCTGGAGAGTTTTTTATGAATAGGTTGGCCGTTTTATTGGTTTTATAGTAAATCGTCAATAGTATTTTCTGTTTTTTGTCTGTAGGGATAACGTTCCTATCAACAATATCTTTCAGGACCCTTTCCTCCGTTTTATGAGCTGTCGAGAAGAAGTTCCTGTAAAATAGTCTAATAGGGGGTACATGTGTTGTGTTAGTTGACTCTTCAGAGGTTGCTTGGCGTTTTACCTTTCTTCTTATGATGTCTTCAACGAAACCATTGGAGAAGCCGTTGTTGACTAGGACCTGCCTTACCCTACTGAGTTCTTCATCGACTTGCTTCCATCTTGAGCTGTGGCTGAGAGCACGGTCGATTGATATATTGATACCTCTATAGAGTACGTATATGTTACTACAACAAAATGTTTTGTTGGACTGCTGCAAGGTGAGACACGCCAAGGTCGCCTTGGTGTGTTATCTTTGAGCGCCTGGGAAAATAGCGACCAGGATATAGGACTTAACTGCTGAATTTTAGTTGGTCTGTTCCCTTCGAGTTTCTTGGCAATTTACATTATTTACATTATTCTTTTCTCAAATCTTTCATGGAATTCCCTTACTCTCGTCACTCGCAAGACTATGCTCATTTGTTTGAAATCTTAACATTTTATATGTATTTTCTTGAATGGTTTCCTTGGTAATACCAACGTACTTTTCCATTAAATATCTAGAGTCTCTGAAAGATCCCCCAACCTGCTAGTATTGAATGCAATGTTTTCTTACTTATTAGCTCAAGGCCTGTTGCGTTAATATACTTCCGACATATTATTATACCATTAAGAAAACTTAATAGGCGTTGACTTGTTTTCTAAGATCACATTTGTACTACACACAGGAAAGATATCTGCAGTTTTATCTTTACCAGCTTCTGCGACTCCCGATCTTCCCATCGTGCCTTAAGGTCGCACTTAACCTCCCCAACTTTTCAAAACTCTCACCGCCACTGTTTTCAGCAACGGGCTAAGGTAAGATATTTTCAGATAACTGTTTTTAGTTATATTTGTTGTACCTTCTCTATGGTTTCTTGTTACTACTGTCATTTATAATTAACAACATTGTCTACCAATGGATTTCCCAGAGTTTATTCTTCCCTACTTTCTGCACCGAAGTATTTGAGCCTTTATCACATGTTCTCACTTATTTATACTCACCCATTTGCATCTTGAGTGTGTGTGAATGTACTCACCAAGATGTACTTGCAGGGTAGAACTAGGCTCCTAGTCCCACCTTCCGAACATTCTTAGAATAATGTATTGATTCATTTCTCACGCTTTTATCATATTTACATTTAAAATTTTGAATCGAATTACCTTCAACGACTTCTGCATCTAATTTTTTCCATTTACTGACAGCTCTAACACTGAAAAATTTCTTCCTGAGGTCTCTATGACTCTTTTGCGTTTCTAGTTTCCATCTGTGACTCCTCGTTCTGCTGTTCCCAACTTTGAACAACGCTGCCTTGTCTGGTTTGTTAATTTCCCTTAGAATCTCATATGTTGTATTCATGTCACCCACTATCTCTCCATTCCTCCAGTGAAGTAAGATCCAGTTCCCTCAATCTTTCCTCAAAGCTCAATCCCTTCAGCTCCGGAACTAGTCTGGTTGCATATCTTTGGACCTTTTATTGTCCATCCTTGTCCCTTTTCAGTAGGGGATTCCATAATGAGACGCATATTAGAGAGGGTCTCACCTTTGATGTATACAGGGGCGTTTGTTATCCTGCTTGGTGGCGTGTGTGTGTGTGTGTGTGTGTGTGTGTGTGTGTGTGTGTGTGTGTGTGTGGTGTGTGTGTGTGTGTGTGTGTGTGTTGTGTGTGTGTGTGTGTGTGTGTGTGTGTGTGTGTGTGTGTGTGTGTGTGTGTGTGTGTGTGTGTGTGTGTGTGTGTGTGTGTGTGTGTGTGTGTGTGTGTGTGTGTGTGTGTGTGTGTGTGTGTGTGTGTGTGTGTGTGTGTGTGTGTGTGTGTGTGTGTGCGTGTGTGGGTTTTCAATTAGGTAAGCGCACGATTTCTCAACAAATAATTGCAAGTTTGAATATTTATCAGTAGTGGCAAGCACAGTGGCGGGATATCCCGGGATCACAAGGACAAACCTTCGCATTTCTGGGAGTTAAAAAATGTTGGCTCGTTCCTACGCCCCTGACCACGTTTACTCTGGTGACTGGAGCGAGGGTTCGTTGGTTGTGCGTAGTCATTACCCTGCTGAAGGACTCTATAAAAGCCGGGACCTCTAAGCGGAGGTCAGTTATCCCTGCGCTGGTCTCTGCAACCATGGTAAGACCTCCTCCTCCACCTACTACACCTCTTCCTTCAGCAGCATTGGTATGCCTGGTAGTCGCATATCACCTTACTCTCCCTACAAGAGATTTTTGCCTGCTGGTTCTTCTCATTGATCCCTTCGGTAAAATGTGAATTTTAATGGGAAAGATATCCTCATAGAAAATCATGATACAAAGGCAACAACTAGCGCTCTCGTGCTGAAAACAAATCACGGTAATACTCTGAAGACGTATGATATACTATGATGTGTATTAAGCATGTTGTTTGCTATTGTATTTCCTTACTGCCTATTAATCAAGAAGTGTTGCCTTAGATTATCCATAGATTTTACTTCTTAACTACACACTGTTAAGAACAAACATTCATATTGTGACAAATATTACTTAAATGAATTTATATGAATAAAAATAAATGAATACTGAGTTGACCAGACCACACACTAGAAGGTGAGGGGACGACGACGTTTCGGTCCGTTCTGGACCATTCTCAAGTCGATTGTGAGATTATTATTTTTTTATATATAGGTCTGGTCTATAGAGTCTATAAGGTCTAGGACCTTATATATATAGGTCTGGTCTATAGAGTCTATAAGGTCTAGGACCTTATATATATAGGTCTGGTCAACATACTTCAGCCACGTTATTGTGACTCATCGCCTTCATATGAATACTGAGCATTGTAAATTACAAACCTAAATTTTTATGGAAACTTTACCTGTGCATCTGTAACCTGAGCGAATCTGTCGATACGGATGATAATTTAATAATTCTTTTCAACAGCGTATGTTGGTGCTGATAACATTGAAAATATTAGGTAAAAGAAAGAACTGTTTATTGAGTAACCCTCTTTGAGAAAAGTTATCTAAGGCCTTTTATAAAATTTTCTGAAATCTGACATGTTGGACACATAAAGATGCTTGAAAAACGTTTTGGGTCACTTCAAGCTAGTCTAATAAAAGGGCCAACACGCTTAACAGAGATTTTAAAGGTTCTTAAATCCAGCTTTGTGTAGCATTCTTCTCTGATCCAGAGGTACATATTACACTGTAACCCTCAGTCCGGATATATATAGTGTTCTCCTTCTTTGAGCATCTTTCACAGACCTGATTAAGCTGAATGTCAATCTTTTACTCGTTGATGGAATATTTGTGTTTGAGGATCAATATTAAATCCTCTGAAAATTACAGGCCAAAGTACCGCCGTAAGTACTTTTTCTGGACAGAGAATTTTATTTCTGTGCACAAAGCACAATATATTATATATTACAATTTCATACTACCGTTTCTGCTTTCCATACCCACAGATCAAGACATTATCTTTAAATATATATTTTATATATACCATTTAACAAATTTTCTGAACAGAGAATTTTACTTCAGTGCACAATAGCACAATATATTATATATTACAATGTCATACAACCGTTTCTGCTTTCCATACCCACAGACCAAGACATTATCTTTAAATATATATTTTATATATACCATTAAACAAATTTAGATGCTTCCGTTTGGGATTATATCTTAGGTATATTGTTAGGTGTCCACCAATAGTGATACGTTTTCCTCTTATTTAAGCATATACACAATCATTATATTGTGTGAATATATGGTAGAAGATATTAAGCTCCCCTCCCCCTCCACCAAAACGTTAAAGGTAGACAGTTATTGTATCTGTCGAGTTACAACTCATATCTTTGACCCAGAAGCCTTGGTCACTCTCTGCAAATAGCGTTAAGAATGCATATTTACACACCGCCACACCGACAGAACTCATGATTTTCTCTCCTGTTGCCTGCAGAAGTGGAACGTCCTTATCATCATGGTCTTGATGGCTATCCTGGCGGCCTATGTTGAAGCGAAGGCGTGCTGTCGTCACCACCACCGTGGCGGCGGCGGAGGATTTGGTGGCGGCGGAGGCTTCGGAGGGGGAGGTGAGTATATATATATATATATATATATAAATATATATATATTATATATATAAATATATATAGTATGAAATTTGATCAAAGACTGAGCATGCTCTTTTTGCACACAAAAACTTATTACAATACTATTAAATTATCTATGTTTTCAGGATTTGGAGGTGGATTTGGAGGTGGCGGAGGTAAGTTAAAGTATTTGTTCACTATATATCATTACTCATACTGTCTCGTCTGGTTGTTAGTCGGTGTAGCGCATCTCAAGTAGGGGATTTGCCTAATTTCGCAACCAGTTGTTAATTTGGACTTGCTCTTGTGTTCGCCATCTGCTATAAGTCTTTATATATCTTGTAAATAATTTATTGATATTGGTAGAATATCTTATGAACATGAGCTTTTTCACAAGGCATTTTATAGAGAAGGTTTTAAGAAGTCATTTAAGACTTCTTCATATGCGCCTCACTCCGGTTCCCACAACATATCTTGCATGGCTAGTGACGAAGGGGGAAAGTCCCTCAGAGTAGGGAAAACTCTTAGAGAAGGGCAAAACCCTTACAAATAGAAATCTGGAAGAGGACAGAAGTAAAACTGTAAGGGAGGGAGGGAATTATCAAGGGAAAGCACCTAACCATTATGACTATATATAGCACTTGGAAGGGGGCGGGATAAGGATTTGGGATGGGACGGTGGGAATGAATGGTCCCCAACGACTTGGACGGTCGGGGATTGAACGCCGACCTGCATGAGGTGAGACCGTCGCTCTACCGTCCAGCCCAAGTGGATGGAAAAAAAACACTTGGGCTGGACGGTAGAGCAACGGTCTCCACTCATGCAGATCGGCGTTCAATCCCCGACCGTCCAAATCGTTGGGCACCATTCCTTCACACCGTCCCATCCCAAATCCTTATCCCGACCCCTTCCAAGAGCTCTACTATAAGGGAATATACGGAAAATTGTTTCCTTATTAAGTCCATGGCATAAATGATTGTTGGTATTACGCCCTTCCTCATAGAAGGGCGTAATACTTTAACTGTTGTGGAAAGTATCGATCATGCTCCCAAATTGTTTCTAAACCCTTTACAGTAGCACAGCCAAGTGCCTTAGTAGCTGTCAATTGTTCAATTCATATTTTCCAGTATGTTTCTTCGTCCTGCTTAGACATCTGCCACCCACCTATATGAGTGAAGGGTTTTCAGTCTGACCGAGGGCTGTTTCTTAGGATAATACGGAGAGGAAGAAAATAGCCACTCTAAGAGAAGCTGGTGCATGTATCACAGTCATTGATGAGGGATGGGTACTCCTTTTTGGTGAGAGTAAAGAGAGTGGTAATGTGACTCTCAGGTGTTCAATCCTAAGTGCTTCAGTGTACTGTACCGGGGGGGGGGGTGTTTCGATTGGTATTTAGATAAGCGCATGTGGCATTATTGACCAAGACTTTTTGCTAATTTTTGATTTGCCCATTTTTCATTCTGCTTTTTTTTTACAGGCTGGGGCAAGTAACTGCAAGGAGCCTCTAACGAATACCAGACCCCCCCAACCTGTCCAATGGCAAACACCTTATTACCTTTCCTGTCTGATGGAGAACACCTCATGACATCCCATTCTGATTGGAAACAAATACTGATCATCCTGGGTGATGGAGCACAACTCACACCTCTGTCTGACAGAGACCTTCTCACCACCTACAACTCTCGCATTTACACCAAAACCTGACAAATGATTATTTCCATTTTCTTTTGTTTCTAGTGCTGTCATCACATGACAACTCTCTTCTCCGAAACTGTCACTAGTTATGGAGAAGAAATGTTTAAATTTGTTAAACATTTTCGTAATAAATTGCTTGTCTCCTAGGAGGGCGTTTTATAATCTTCTCAGTAATTATAATCATGACCTTTATGCTTAACAAAACTGTAAATATGTAACAGATATAAGGAATCGATTGGTTTACCGACAGCATGTCTCCAGTTCCACGTTCATTATTATCCACTCACAAAACTCCACATATTGACTGCATGTCTTACTTCATGAAAGAGTTTGTCAGTTCGTCACTTTGCTAGTGATTATATCAGCCCCCATACTGGGGGTTACCATGTTATTATTCTGAATATAAACTGTACAAATTCATAGTAACATTCATTTAATATCAGATTATAAATGAATACTGAAACAATTTCACAAATTTACTACTTGCATTGTTATTCAGTTGGAGCCACCAACTATATACGAAACTACTTAAGGAAATAATAAATAATGTTAAAAAACTTGTTTATGTTAGTATTACCTGCCATCTATGAAGAATATAAAACTATTCTTGGATTACAATCCATTTCTATTTTTGGATGCACGTTGTACTTAGATAATTTACACTTTTTATAACAAAAAAACAATATGCAACGTACAACCGTCTTCACATATTTCCATGTTTTTTTCCTTTACATATTACTAATAATATATATCGTATAATTAAGAAAGGTCAAATAACATGTAGAGCTCATTATGTAAAATTTATTGCACGGAACTACACTGTGTAGGTTGCAACATCCAGGAAACAGTGTTTGGAGGTGTTCCTATTGCACGGCGAGGAACGAGGACTCTAGATCGTTACTTGCCATATCCTGCGGGGAAAGTTTTACTGTGAAAAATTACAATTAACATCACAATGAGGCTATGCCTATGCGTAATAAAAAAGATTCTCATGATAATTAACTAATATTTTTACAACCTATCAGCCAAAAATTAGAGTAGCAAATGCTACTGTGGATGGAACAACACATAATAATTGTTATACGCAAAATATTCTTTTTTTTTCACAACTGATTTGTTGAAAACGACGGTTAAGCTTATTCTATCGAAGGACTAGTATAGTATTTATATTTTCTAAACTAATACTTATAATGTGTATATTTGGCTTCGATTGTTAATTTAGGCCTAGAACAAGTTAGGTTTGAATGATTAAGTTGTTGCACATTTCGTTATGCACTTTAGTATACAATACAATATTATAGTTTGATTTTTTCTGGATGTAACAGTCCATATTGTGAACATTTCATCCATAGTAGCAGAATTCAGAGATAACACCATCAATGAAGTTCAAGAAATGTGTTAGTACTTCATTCATAAAGATATACTGCCAGGAATCTTAGCGAAGTATACAAAATATGCTTACTGTATGTGCAGCCTGCACATGACTATAAAGCTGCCCTCAGTTGGTGTGGAGCAAAACTAGTAACTGTGTGACCATAGATGTAAAGTGCCTTGTATAGTGACTGTTGTGAGCCTCTTGTTGAATCACTTGTGATATAAAAGATTATTGATATGTATATGCATTTTTGTAAATGATTGTATTTACTATACACATGTACAGTACATGTGTATATAACATTAACAATTGTGTAACTAACTTCAAAAGGGTGTCACTTGCTTAGCTAAATGAACTAAGGAGTTCCGTTCCTGAACCGATTATGTGCCTCAGTAACCCTTTCCACCACCGCCCATGGGATGGGTATGAGGTACATAATAACGAAAGAAATTTAATAGTCATAAAATGAACATTTTGAGAATTGGTTGCATTTTTATTATTTAACCGAAACAGACAAATGACACTTACCGCCACCAAAGCCTCCGCCACCACCACCGTGCCCTCTACCGCCGCCACCTCCGAAGCCGCCACCGAAGCCGCCCCCGCCACCATAGCCACCACCGCCGCCTCCGAAGCCGCCGCCACCAAAGCCGCCCTTGCCGCCTGATGACGTGTGTAAATACACATTATTTAAAGTGCATAAGATCCAGGGAAAATTCGTTGCCTATAAATAATCAAAATAAACCAACACAATACCTTAAGCTCGCCATAACCCGAGATACTTATGTTAAATTTGCCGATGTGTTACATATAAACGTTAATTAATTTGATCACAGATCTTTCGTTTGTAAATAGATGTTTTATGTTAAAGTCAATTGCAAGTTAAGTGCATCAGATTTTATGGATATTGATCGTAAATTTACTGTATAGTGCGAGCGACTGCAATTACCTGATGAATATGGTATGATAATAACTTTTATGTTGAAATAGCACGAATGAGTAATAATTTTATTTGTTCAAATTCATACTTTTGACGAAATCTGCAAATTGGTACTGAGTTCTTATCAGATACATACCTCCGAATCCACCGCCTCCATAGCCTCCACCACCATGATGACCGCCGCCAAATCCTCCTCCTCCTCCATATCCGCCACCTCCAAATCCACCTCCCCCAAATCCACCGCCACCAAACCCGCCGCCACCGTACCCTCCACCAATTCGCCCGGCGCTAACAAAGGCGCCCAAGAGGCACAAAACAAGGATGGTGTAGATGCTTCGGATCTAAGAGAAAATCAGAAAAAGATAAAATGTTATAATGGATTCAAATTAGATATGTTTAGATTCATTTATTTTACTGTACACATTACCGGGTAACATATGCGTGAGCTCCTTAGATTGTCTGAAGCAGACCAGTCAAGCATATGTATAAGTGATTTGGGTTGGCCGTCAATTGAAGATTACTCGCATTGTTTAATAAGAAATGTCCTCAATTCTTATGTTCTACATAAACACACTGAAGATGAACGAGAAAAAAATCATATAAAATGAGCGTTGTGAATTGTTGTGGAATACCCAAACTACAATAATATAATTACTTATAACTTAGTTATGGTTTAGTTACCATGATGGTGATGTTGACTGCACTACTGTGAGACAACTGACGATCAAGCACAATTGGTGGGCTATTTATACCCAGCCAGCCACCGCAGGAAGTCTCCCACGGAAACAATGGCATAGGCTCTCGACCTTAGATCATGTTGATTCATCACAGTAAACTTAACATAACCAAATGAAAGTTGTGTGATTTCCAACAGGGTAGGAAGGTCGTGAGAGAGGGCCCGAGAGGGGTGATCGAGGTGAGAGGAGAGATGGTCCTGGAGGCGATATGGAGGTTAGAGGAGAGAGGGCCCGGGGAGGATGCTGGAGGTGAAAGTAGAGAGGGCCCGGGTAGGGTGATGGAGGGAGAGGAGCGAGGGCCCCGGAGCGGTGATGGAGGGGAGAGGTGTGAGGGCCCGGGAGCGGTGATGGAAGTGAGAGGAGTGAGGGCCCGGGAGGGTGTTCGAGGATAGAGGGGGCCCCGGTTTAGGTCATAGAAGATACAATATAAAATGTGTCTGAATGTTTATGAATATGTATCTATTCATAAACCTGAATAGATAAAATCGTTGACCTCTTAACCCGAATGCACTCGGGCATTGGGTTGAATGAGTTCAAAAAGACTATCGCAGGTTTTGAAGGGTTGTGGTACAGCACTCAGCTGTATGAACATCACGCGCGCGGAGGTTCCAGCCCCCAGCAAGGCCAATTGGAATTTTCAAGTATGTAAAATGCAGCCTGTGTACTATTCAAGTTGATCATTTGATATATGTATATATATATATATATATATATATATATATATATATATATATATATATATATATATTGTGGGAAAAACCTGCTGGGATTGATATGAGAGGAGACTACCAGGGACTTTTACTGAACTAAATTAAAAATTACTGTCTGCAAATTAATTCAACTAAAATCTCTAGCTAGGGTTGTAAATCCTAGCTCCTCTTTTCCTAATGACAGATTGTGGGCTGTAAGGGGCAGGTGGGGTGAATGAATTAGTTGATAGGTTGATTGGAGATCCACAGTCCACCTGCCAACAGGTATCTCACATCAGCTTGTATTTTATACAAGGATAAGATTTAATAAATTCAGTTATATGACTGAACACTGGCTCTGTTTAAATCAGAGATTTAAACATGTACATAGTCTAGCCTAGCACCATAACTATTAACAGCCAATATATTCTTATACTATAAACAACAATTTAAATTGTAAAAGTATAATAAATGACTTTAAATGTAGTCTAAGTACTGTTACTAAGTACAAGAAATTATATTCAATTAAATGAACTTATATGATAACTTAAAAAATAACTAAGCAAGCAATTGTTAACTTAATTTATATATTCAAGTATATATGCAATGTATTTATATTCAATTTATATGATTAGGTACAGTCAGCTTGACTGAATCTCTTCCAACACCATGGACACTTATGAGGTCTTGTTTATTTATTGCGACTGAATCTTTTCTCACATAATGGGCACTCATGAGGTCTAGTGCTTGGATAAAGATTCACAGCTACACTGCAATATTAATAATAAACTTACTGAGGTATGAGGCGTTGCCTCGCTTTATAACCGACAGACAGACTTATAGACTATTAAAGTCACACAAGCATACAATTGGTCAATTATATACCAAAATAACCTCAATATACTTCTCAGCTTGCCGGGTGCCTGTCTGACAGTGTGCCAGGCTTGATAACTCTCTTGTCGCGAGTTTAGGCACGATATTTTATATCACAGCATTGCTGTATGATGTACTAATAGCGTTGCTACGTGATTTTTCTTTAACTGCGTTGCAAAAAAATGAGGGTTGATGGTGAAGGTGGAGACAAGTCACTGTGTGCTCCACTCTACACTTATAGATATAAATGTCCTAGGGATTTCCCTTGTAGATATATTGTCCAGGTACTCCCCCAGTTCTAGAGAGCATTCACTGGTGATAAAGATAATTAGATAAGATGTCCTGAGCTAAATAATGTTCGCTAAGGATCCGTCACTGTTCACTCAGTTGTAAACGAACGCAAAGTACCCGGGCTATGGTCGTGGGCTTCTTGTTCCTGAGATGCTCCTCCCTCTCCCTTCAGAGGGGTAGCATTCAATGAATATTGATTGATTATTTTTACAGTCTAGACTTAAGATTGAGATAAGATGTG